CACGCAACGCCATCTCGTAAAGATCAATGTAACTAACTCGCTCGGATTTATTTATTAGTGGTTAAATATAGATAAATAATAAAGGACCGTTACGTGTATTGTTAATAACAATCTTGCTTACTTGAATGTTCGTCTGCGCTCTCAATCGACAGTTATTAGATCACCTATTTTTATAACCTAAGCACTAACCCTCTCTTACCGACACCCGCCATAAATGGCAGAATATTCATAACTTCCGATATGTAAGTATGTATATTCATATTTATGCATATCTTATATTTTATCTAGTTATGCATCAATATGGACAACTTTATGAGTCTGTCAAATATTTTTTTATGACGCTCAATCCTTTATTGGTTTTATGAGGAAAATTCAAGACTTCCTCAAGGCTAATTGTTTTGGCGCCATGATCTAACATATTTTGAGTCATGATCAAACGCAGAACGTCTTAAAATGGCTAATTTGCTAGAATGTCAGTACGGAAAATTTCTCTTTTTTGTGGTCACAATTGAAGCTAGCCAGTCTCGATATATCATGGTCCAGACTCTCCATAATCACAAATAAGAAAAAAAAGCTTTATCACGTCACGCCAGAAAAACACCGGGGTGGGTGCTAGTGCAATAATGTACCGTAGACTCAGCTCGCAGTAGAAGAAGGAACGGGGATTTTTTTGTGAGGGGAAATTCATCAAATGACGGTCAGGAGGGAGTGTCAGACTCTTACTGACTAAAAACCCCCCTGTTCCTTCTCCTGCTAAGGGCCGAGGTCGCGGTGCCTCATTGCGCTTACCCCGCAACCCCGGCTGAACATCAGCTCTATTGGGCCCCGTCTGTGGTGCTCTATTGGCCCTTTGAGGCGCGAGCGGAACGGTACGCGCTGTACGCTCGGGTCTGTTTCTGGTCGGGCGGCGAGTTGCCATTACTCGCCAACCGCAGACCCGCGCTTACGGTGTCTGGAGATCGTTCCTTGAGAAGGATCGGGGTGGCTTATACTCATTAAGTCTGACACAAATACCAACCACGCTAAATACCTTACATAACCTCCACATTCCATTTCCTTTTCACACAAAGAGATATTTCATACGTTCATTACTTCGTTATCTGTTCTATATTTCCAATAATTGCTCTTTGTGTGTCTCACTCAAGTAATCCATTAAAGACATCGTTATATCTGGGTCCGATGACAAGGCTCGCTTGTAAATAATATATCGTGGTTAGTATTTGATAAACTAAACAGTGCCACCCGCGATCACTCCATCTATTGTATCATCAATGGCTCCTTTGACTTCACTGTTCTCAGTAATCGGGTGATAACGGACCACAACTGCAGGAAGACCTGATTAGGTATAGTTTTCATTGTAGAATTTGCCGGAATTAGGAAGTGCGAGGGAGTGAGATTATTATTTGCTATTCGATGTGGACCTACACTGCCATAGCCAAGGATTATTTCAAGCTTTTTATAGATTAAATATATGATCCCTTACAAATATTTTCCATAGTATAAAAGATTTTTACTTAAATTAAATATGATGATCACTTTTTCTAGAACATTCTCAACGAATGACATGAATATTTAAATGTAAAATGACCACTTCCTATCTTGTTAGGTTAAATAGCTCTCACGTTAATACGTCGGTCAATAGTCCGCTAATAACTACTCGAGATAAAATGACATTATGATGTGGCGACACTCGTTTTCAAGGGCCTGTTACGCTAAGCGGTGGAGTGTTTGGGAGATTATGTCACACCAAAATGTTAATAGCTTAAAAAACTAAATATTTACGATATTTTTTGTACGCGATCTTTTCATGTTCATACATTATTTTCGGGATTAGCTATAATAGTCTCCGCATGTGTCTAGTATATATAGTTTAAGTAAAACCATAGTTGGCGCTGCAATCGTTTTAAGCCTTCGATCCTTTTATTTGAAATATAGGAACTAATACACTGCACACTTTCGCCTAGGATAACATTATATCTTGCTCTTTTATAATCAAATATCTATTATACTATACCTACATAATAAACAAAACTAAATATTTTAATATTGTATGTAAGAGTACCTAATTGTCGCCCGGGGGACAGAGCTCGTGTGTTCATTAAACGGTTGTTCACTCCTAAGGAATTTTAATACACTCGTCGGCTTTATGTCTTCATACACTTAGATATGTAGAGGAGAGGAGCATTTTTCTTCTGCTCAGAATGCTCGGCTTTATTGAAAATGTTTTGTGGAATGCTTTTTAGGTCGCTCTGTTATTTAGTGGTGGCGGAGGCATTTTTGACCGTATCTCGGTTTTTCCGCAATTAAACAGGGGACTAGTTGTGAGGTTAGATAAAAGTTTTATGTTATTTGCAGCTTACCTAATAAGGTTTTAGAGGTCCACTCTATGGCCATATCGGAGTGATACCATGGCTTCACAGAATACCGGCTTGATATGACGCTTGTTTTCTGTTTCATCGAGTGTGTAACGTTACCAGAAGCCCAATCCTTTTCCCTCCAAACCCCAGGCTTTCAAGTGTGGGAGAGCCATGCTTCGGCACGAATGGGTCGGCTCGACCGGAGTGATACCACGGCCTCACAGAAAACCGGCGTGAAACAACCATAGCGTTGTGTTTCGCCGTGTGAGTGAGGTTACCGGAGGCCCAATCCTTCCCCTCCCCCAATCCCTCCTAAATCCCTAAATCTCCAAATCCCTAATCCCTAAAAGGTCGGCAACGCACTCGTAACTCCTCCGTTGCGAGTGTCCATGGGCGGCGCTGATTGCTTACCATCAGGTAATCCGTCTGCTCGTTTGCCGACCTACTAAAAAAAAACCCTTTGTGTAATAATCAAAATTACAATGTAATTAGTTCCTCTGGTGTTGTATGGGTGGCGACGATTGCCCACCAACAACCCATATATGCTCGATTGCCTTCATATCCTATAAAAAACATCATAACAAAGTTTGATCATTAACCTGCAGTGTAAATATTGTCACAACAATGAGCTGTTCCATTGGAAATTGAGTATTCTGGTATTTTGATACCAGCTTTTAAGTGTCCATTGTCATTATCACTTCCGGACTATCGAGTGGAGAATCGGTTCAAAACAAATTACGTGATTTTGATAAATAGTTGATTAACCATTATATGAAGAACTCTAGCCGGCTCTAGTCATATAATTTTCCAATAGATATCTATTTCAAGTTCTAGCATTCAAATGTCTTTAATATTATGAAGAGGTTTGTATGTCCCTACGTACAAAGCGTAATCTTTGGAACCGCTTGTCAGATTTCCAAAATACTTTCAATTGTAGATAACTATAATGTTCCTGACTAAAAGTTATTCTTGAATTGCGTATCTTAGTCAAGCTATCACTTTAAACGCTGCTGTTTTTTAACCGACTTCCAAAAAAAGGAGGAGGTTCTCAATTCGACCGTATATATGCTTTTTTTTTATGTTTGTTCGCCGATATCTCCGTTATTTATGAACCGATTTTGATAATTCTTTTTTTATTGGAAAGGAGATAGTCCCAGAATGGTCCCATGATAAGGAAATCAGGATCTGATGATGGAAGACCAGAGAAATGGAGGGGAACTTTCAAAAATTGTAGGGGCGAGTTGTGCTTTTGCATATGGTTTTAGTAGGCTTATGACAAATTTACAACTTGCCGATGTTCGAACCCGACCTGATGATGGAGCCGGGAGACAGTCGAGGGATCTCCTTGACTATTTGGAGTAGTTGCCTTGTGTTTGGGCTTAAATGATTCGTATTGGTGAGTACTTTGCACCAAGATTGGTCGTGGCTGTCATTAAGGGGCTGATGATGAGAACGATGGACAGCTCAGGGAACTCCTTAACGGTTTACAGTAACTACCTCGTGTTTGGACTTCATTCATTTATATCAATGAAAACTTTGCACCTCTATGGATTACAATGAAGTTATGCAGTAAATTGTGATGATGGAGCCGGAAGGCAGTCGAGGGATCTCCTTGATTATTTGGAGTAGTTGCCTTGTGTTTAGGCTTGAATGATTCGTATTGGTGAGCACTTTGCACCAAGATTGGTCGTGACTGTCATTAAGGGTCTGATGTTGAGAACCATGGACAGCTCAGGGAACTCCTTAACGGTTTACAGTAACTACGTCGTGTTTGGACTTAATTCATTTATATTGATGAGAACTTTGCACCTATATGGATTATGTATAATGAAGGTCTGCAGTAAACCCGATAATCGAAACGGTCATTGACATTCGCGGGAATTCCTCAACGATTTACGGCACTGAAAGCTGACTAACTCAGGACTGCCATTACTGTGATTTTCGGTCTCAGGTAGCCGTCGTCTTCTCTTTTAAGAAGCATCCTAGCTTTCTCTGCCTATCACTTAAAATGGTGAAATAAAATAATTTTTAACAAAAAATAAAAACCGACTTCAAAAGTAAACTAAAAAGCAAAAAATTAATTTACTTTGTTCAAAGTAATACACACTTTCATTTAGTTAAATAGAAAATAATATTTAGTAACTATTTTATAATTTTGAAGTCGGTGCCAAGTAAATGCTACATACCAAACAACAACAGTATTAGAAAATATATTGATCGGTACCTACTAATCATCAAATTAGCAAGAGGTATGTAAGTGATATCTTTACACTGTTATAGTTTTACTTGGCACCGACTTTAAGATTATAAAATAGTTACTAAATATTATTTTCGATTTAACTAAATGAAAGTGTGTATTACTTTGAACAAAGTAAATTTATTTTTTGCTTTTTAGTTTACTTTTGAAGTCGGTTTTTTTTAGTATCCCGGGATAATCTTCTTTTATAAGCATGCAAAGCCACTGGCGTAAGCCAGTTATAATATAAAGCGCGTAATTTTTATTGATTTTAAATGTATGCTAGAGCCTACCAGTGTAATTATTATTTAACATTTATAAGAATTCTGATAATCTTACAATAATGATACAACTTCAAACTATTTACTTAGCACATCATAAAATTCAACTTAGCTTTATAATTACAGACACACAAGCTGTACGCGCTGCGGTACTGGGGCTGCGAGCTCCTGTGCCTGCTGAACATCGTGCTGCAGCTCTGGATGATGGACAGCTTCTTTAATGGAGAGTTCTTCTCATATGGTACCAGGGTGCTGGGGTACAGCGAGGTGCCGCAGGAAGAGAGGTGGGTTCTGATGTTTATTTTTGATCACTGTTAAGAATTGTTCTAGCAGTTACAAATGACCGTAGAATATGATTGTGTTATTTTTGATAGAAAGCGAGCAATAAGTTTTATTTAAAAATCTTGAACTATTTATGAGTGAATTAAATTGAATAAAATATTCTTACTGCTTGCAAGATCACGATTAGCTAGCCACGTTCATACATCTATCTCTTCATCACCCAAAGGTTGATGGTCGAGAATCTCAAACGGCATTACGTCCGCCATTTTTGTTGTTACCAAAAAAGTAAATGATTATACAGTAAAAAGGTCGGCAATGCATTCGTATCTCCTCCGTTGTGGTGCCCATGGGCGGCGCTGATCGCTTACCATCAGGTAATACGTATGCCCGTTTGTCGTCCTGTCACATAAAAAAACACCTACCTTACCTACCTTACCTTTGTACTGTAGATTTGTAAATATTTATATATGTAGGTAATTTATTATAATCCTCCAACAAATTATATCGTGAGACATACTAAATTAACTAAAATCGCGGGTTACTCACGTGTGTAAAATGAGAATAGCTCTACTAGTTTCGAACCACAGAGGTTCTCATTTTACACGCGTGAGTAACTCGCGATTTTAGTTAATTTAGTATGTCTCACGATAGTTATTATAAAAATATAATCCTCCAATTTCAGATATGATCCAATGATCTACGTATTCCCCCGCATCACGAAGTGTACATTCCACAAGTTCGGTGCATCAGGCAGTATACAAACCCACGACAGTTTGTGCATCCTACCTCTGAACATCGTCAACGAGAAGACTTACATCTTCCTTTGGTTTTGGTACATCATACTTGCTGTCGTGCTTTGCCTCCTCGTCATATACAGGTGAGATTCACGTATTTTATTTAAATTAATACGGTAGTTTCCAACTAGTCGAATTCAATACTTTTATCCAAATGTCAAAAACTATGCTGTTCTATGAAATTTGTATGAAACTCCAAATTACGACGTCTTAGTATTTTTGCGCCGAATGAGTTACTTATTTCTTTAAAATTTCGTAAAGTTAGTATGTATCGTCAGATCGATAAATAAAAGTATAGTTATATTTCAAAATTTTATTGTGATGAAACGTCGAATTAATTTATTTTTGACCTAGGAAACTACCCAATTGTGTGTTTTTAGCTGTGTGAATGAAAGTAGCCAGCAAAAAGGTTCCATCTTTGAGCCAGACCAGTTAATATCGAGTTTCTGATTTGATTTTTTTTTTGTGATACATTGATGTATTGATTGATGATTGATTGATTTATGCTGCTGCTTGCTTCGACTGCACGGTCGATTCCTGCACGGAACAACTATGTATGTATATGTGTGATCCGCAAATGGATTTTCCGGGTCTGGGTATGAAGTGTATATTAAATTGTACGCTTGTAAACGCACCTACGATCCAGGAGGGGGAGAAAAATATTGTAAATATATTTTTCTTCCATGAAGAAACGGTCTAAAAAAATTGTGGTTAGCGAAACCACTAAACACTACAATAAGTTTTATTTTGATAAATTCCGAAGGTAATGCGTCTGCTCGTTTACCGCTGAATCACATAAAAAATTACAACTAGGTGCATTGTTAGTTTGTTTTAAAAATAGTGAATTACACAAAGCAAATGTGACAGAGTAGTTCATAGTGATTATGATAATGCTGTGACATAAGGGCCCTTATCAGCTGTACCTTGTACACAGGTAATCGATGTCCATGTGGCATGCACGGTGATAAGGCACGCCACATCCATATGCAAATAATAATGTGTCTTCAAGACCTGAGTGAAAATGTTGCTTATGGGTAGGCGTGCTCCATCGTAGGTCGCATTATCGCTTGCCATCAGGCGTGATAGAGGCCAAACGCCTAAAATTATGTGCATTGGTGCGCAGTACTTGTAGCATTTTTTATGTTAATATTTCCCATTTTAAGTCGGCAAACGAGCAGACGGATTACCTGATGGTAAGCAATCGGCGTCGCCCAGGGACACCCCCAACACCAAAGGAGTTACGAGTGCGTTGCTGGCCTTTTGGGAATAGGGGTTGCGGATATAAGCATCGGGAAGGGATAGGGGAAGGGGCGGGATTGGGCCTCCGGTAACTCACTCACACGGCGAAATACAACGCTGTGGTTGTTTCACGCCGGTATTCTTTGAGATCGACTCCGGTCGAGCCGACCCATTCGTGCCAAAGCTTGGCTCTTCCACACATTATAGACAAGATTTGATTTATGGAAAATGTAATTATGACTGCGCATTGGCTGAGTGACCTGGTGACAAACTAGGCAAACGTCTCTTGAAGTGATGCATGTTGTTGTTCCTCGATTAGAGGTGTATGTGGAATTGTATTTGTTAATGCAATTGCAATTGCAAAAAGGGTAGGAAATCATTTTGTTGCCATTCTCTTGCAATGATTTTCGAAACGAAATTTTTACGAATGAATAGTCAAAGTGCGGCAATCTGGAAGGTTCCGCAAAATCTAACAAATTGTAGATAGGCACTTATCTTGCATCGGCTGTACATTTCTTACGACAAAAATTGAATTGTTTAGGACATATAAATGGGACGAGAAATGGAACATGCTAAACATTTTCCAAGGCCTCTTAAGCAAATTTGTCTAATTATAAAAGTTTGGTATTATTTGACTGCTTCCGAAAACAATTAAACTGCCGTCCTACCAACATGACACCATAGCGGCAAAAATAAGGTTGAAAGTCTATTAGACCAAAACAACAGGCGTATGTCCAAATATCAAAATATTTAAATCACCTTTCTTATATTCCAGACTGGTGATTATCTTCGTGCCGTCAGTCCGACCGCGCCTACTGCACGCTCGGTCCCGCACCCTGGCGATGGAGACCGCCGTGCTGGTCTCCCGCCGCACCGACATTGGTGATTGGTGGCTACTCTACATGCTCGCCAGGAATATGGACCCGCTCATATACAGGTAACAGTGGCCCAATAAAAAACCAATGCGATTAAAAGTAATGGACATAAATGTTTAGCACATCACAGGTGTTTTTCCAATCAGTAATCTACATACAGTTTTGGTAAGTCAGAGGTGCTTTTCCGAAATCAGAAAAGTCGTGGTGGCCCGGAGGTTAAGGCGCCCGCTTCTCATGATGAGGGTGCGGGTTCGAAACCTGGCAAGTACCAATGTGACTTTTTCCGACTTATATGTACTTTCTATGATTATTTAGACACCACTGACATACGGTGAAGGTAAACATCGTGAGGAAACCTGGACTTATAATTTCTAATTTTAAGTTTGAAATCGCCAAACCGCATTGAGCAAGCGTGGTGATCAATGCTCTAACCTTCTCCGTGTGAGAAGAGGCCTTTGCTCAGCTGTGGGCAATTATAGGCTGATGATGATGATGACGATTTCCGAAATCAACGAACTTAATAAAATTGTCGTATGTATTATACATAATTATGCTTTTTTATCTCGGACATACGGGTGAAGCTAGTTTTAGAATGCGTGTATTCAATGTCGCCTGTTATTATGATTAGTTTTATCACACCATGAACATTGCTACATTATCTTAATTTTCTTTTACAGCGAGCTGATCTCTGAGCTATCCAAGCGCATGGGAGAGAAGCCGGGGGTGCGTGCGTGACGGCCGCCGCCCAGCGTCGCCGTGCTAGGCGTCTGACATATACCTCCCCCCCTTCTCCCATCACATTCCGGACCCCACCACTGGACATCTCACTCCAAGCAGGATCTAACAGGCAAAACACCAAATTATTCACAAAAAAACTCAAAAAAATCTCTACATAAGACATTCCATATATATTTTCGTCATTATCCGCCTCCAGTACTTTGTTTATGCAATTTACTCGAATTTCTCAAAGCTCAAATATCGAGCCAATTAATGTTGTTCTTTTGCTAAGTAGACCAGTCTAATAGACCAGTAGACCTGGTCTTCTAAACAGACATCGGTAGTAGTTAGCTATGGAGCAAGTTAAAGAGTAATTTTAATGACATTTCTGCAGTAATGTATGATTTATATGTAGTTAATATAATGAAATGGAATTTGTGCTAAAATTACCACATATTGAACCTTATTCAAAGGTGAAAATCGTATAAGTTACACTTATTCTACATAATACTAGACATTTCAAAGTGTATTCAATTGAATATGAACTCTATTGACATAAATGAACTGGATAGATTGGCGGACAGTGGTATTTTCGCGTTGAATAATTAAAATGCTTGTTTGACTATGAAAGGAAATTAAAACAATACAATATCGAGTGAAAATTGTACATAAAAAGGTATAATATATGTATCATTGCTGGCAATACAGAATACAATGACAAAACAGATATCGGCTCTGATTAGTTTTATTATTCTAATATTATTTCGAATAGATTTATTAATATTTTTCAGCTGTAGTCGACATTAGTCAATTACTTGCCCGATTTTCGCAATAAAATAGTAGATGCGTTTCACGGCAACATAATAATTGACCTTATTTATAAGGTATAAATGTATAAGGTTTAAATTGTGAATGTTGCCGTGAAATGCGTTACTTTTAGCATAGAATATTCGTAGGACATCACAATAGATGCTATAATCTAATAAATAAGAGATTAAAAATTTTTATGGCCATAAATTAGTTGATTTACCAGAATTGACGACTGGTTATTTTAGCCTAATGAGAGTTTTTGTCTTGCGATCATGAGATGTCGCTAGTGGGTTAAGCTAATGTCTGTGTATTATATAATAATGTATAATTGAATTGACAAGGGCAAATACTCCATGAGTCAATAAATATTAAGCTAGAGATGAATCTGGCAGTTTGGTTTGTCGACCACATTGAGTTGAAGACGCGGTTGCCATTCAAGAAAAGAAAAAACCTTAAGCTATACTAGCGCCTCTACTGGACGAAAACTCTCTTTACTTTTTGCAAATAATTCAAACATATTCGTCCGATATATTCTAAAATCACAATATATAGAATCACAGAAGAAATCTCTTTAGAAATCTGATTTTTATCTACTTTATTTTTTAAGTGAACAGATCTAATTCATATTTTATTTTGATATGTCTTTAGATGTCTGAATTACAACGAAATATTATGTACGTTACTGAATCTGCCTAACATATAACATGAAATAGTGTAATCTCATTTTTAAGACAACTTTTGTGTCAATGATATAGGCAAGCAATAATAGTCTTTAGTGACATCACTGCCAATGAAATCTCTTATATTTTTCCTTATGTTCTCTCTTCTTAAATAAACATCACAATTTTTTTAATATACATACTAGAACCTTTTCGTACTGTGATCTGATAGTTGGTCAGAGCGAAAACTAGTACGGTATAATTTTACAATACATTACTGTTTTAATTAAATTGTCACCTATTTGTGTGCCAAAACTTCATCTGAAATAATTCTGCAGTTTTTGGATAACATTCCATCATCACAATTTTAGAATTTATGATTTTGCTAGTTGTGTCGTTAAATGAGTTCTGTTTTTGAATCTATAAATCTGCTCCTCATAGACATTTAATTATACATTTTTAATGCATATCATCTACTAGTGTTTTATGTAGGTTGTTTTTACAATTAATTTAAATAGCAGTGTAGTCGACAATTTTGTATTGGTGACTTGGTTGCTATACAAAAAAAAAAGTTCTCATATATCTCTCTCATATCCGACAGTTGTATTAATTAGTTCAAATAAACGTAAATTATCATTTTATCTATATGTATATATAAATGACCATCACAACTTACAGCACAAATCTTTCTTTTTTTTAGTGTAGCTATATTTTTTTTATATTGGCAATCCTAAATTTGAAATCTTGTCTTTTGAAATTTGATCAAAAACTTTGTATAGTATCTAATGAGAAGCACTGACATTATAATGCGGACTGGAAATGTATGGCCTTAACTATTAGACTTGTATGAAACGTGTGAATTTGTATGAACTTGTATGGGTTACAACAAAATTGTGTAACTGTCAAAAATATCGGATAAGTAAGTGTTGTGTGTCTACGGCCTTTGTATTTGGATATTTCCAACGTTTTAATGTAATTGTATGTAGTCAGTGATATTGTATTATTTGTGTATTTATTATATTATTATAGTAAATAGGTTTACGAATTTCGATGTGAAGAAAAATATCATTTAGTTTTTCTCAATGTGACGGTGTCGCCATCTGGCGGGGCCATGCTAATCGTAACTAGTGTTGTGATCCTTTGACTGTCGGTGTTCATTTTTCGTAAAAAAATATAAACTCTTTTATATAGGAGTTGTTTTTAGCGTTTTAGCTCTTTTGCGCGTTAAAAGTTGACTTTTTAGATGAATTGTTAAGTTTTAATATGATATCATTTTCTCATAATTGAAGGCTCTCTTCATGAATGTGCCAGGGAGCAATATCATAGCTCCATCTTCATCTCATCAAGTTAATGTATTGTTAAAATGTTCATATTTAAAAACCGACTTCAACTTGATGTTGATAAAGTTGAAATTACTCCAACTTAACTCACATACATAAACCTTTTTGATATGTATACGTATAGGTAAATAAGTAAAGCCTTACAATGCGCTCAATATAATGCCATATACCTAATACCAGGATCACAAAAAGTATATCTGTATATTTAGTAATTAGAATTATTATTTTACGTACGATTTGCGCACACGCAGCGTACGAGTTCCACTTTTGTGACATTTTAAGTTTTTGATACTGAAAATTACGCGATAAAATCGTTTAAAACAATGTTTATGCGATTTTCAATGTATGACAAGTAGTGTTTCGATTGAAGACAGTATGTAAATAGTGAATTTAATAGTTTATACGTATGTTCCTAACAGACGATTAATTTTAGTTACAAATATTAGGAAATAGGTTGTGTTCAGGACAAGGCCGTGGCTAGAACGGTGCTAATAGAGATCAGGCAAAGGCCTCAAGAGTATTGGCTACACAGCTAGAACTCTTTTGTAGAATTGTCAAGGTAATTTAGCGACCAACCTTCTAGCAACGGTACTGTTAAAGATAAAAATTGTTTCTTGCGCTAGACTAAAGTTGCCATTCTCAAAAAACCTTTTCCTCCCAATCTTAGTTTGACTTTTTCTACTTTCCTACCCAATTTTTTATTGGCAACCCTGGTCCTTTTGGCGCGCTTTTGATTATTTTATGATGTAACGCGTGTCATGAAAAGAGTGATAATGAAATACATCACGTATGTTTTACATTTTTATTGTTTAAGTAAATTAGAATAATGAAGAATGAAGCATTTATTATATTTAGTTTAAAACCTTTGTGTTAATATTTATATACTCTGTACTATATGTTCTCGAATTAAGACATTATTGTATAAGTTAATTACGTACCATTTTTAAATTTTTCTTTAGAATTTTTATTTTTTTTTCATGTATACTTGTGTAAAATCAAATTGGTTTACTATGAAATAGCTTTTTTGCTAAAATATTAATACGAATGTGCTACCATCGCATTAGTATTGATATTTTAAGCTCCACTTCAAGAGATTCTTCCAAGCTTAACAATTATTCCTATTAAAGAATGTTGCATGAAATATATCGTAATTGTTTTACTTAGATGTACGTAAAACAGTAATTGTTTGTAAGTATAGCTGTTAGAGGACGCGGCGTTTCATTTTCAGATGAATTATACAAATATTATTCTTTTAATTACATTGGTTTTATTTTGTTACCCTCTCAAAACAAAAGTTGAAAAGTACTTTAAGTGGACTAGAGCCACTAGCCATTTTGTTATTATTGTAAAATAACACGTCTTGATTTCTTTTTGCGGTAGGCAGAGGACACAGTCTCTTATTGACTAAAAACTATTCCGTTCCTTCTCCTGCTCTAGGTCGAGGACGTGGTACATTAGTGCGGTGGACCCGCAACCCCGACTAAGACCCCATATTTATTACTATATCTACTATCTATATTACCACATTACTTGTTTTTACGTCACCGTTTGTTTTCACGATTACCGTAATTTGCTCATATCCCTGAGCAGTGTACGTGGCCCACCACCATTATAGCATTTGAAAAAAACATTATGTAATTTAATGAAAGCCTAAACTATCTAACCAATCACGGGTCTGCGGACGGCAAGCAAGGTTAGCTCGCGGCTCGACTAGAACTAAGCCGATGATGTGCTGCCTGGGTTGCGTGTGCAAGTGTACTGATGTACCAAACAGGCCGCGTGTACCGCCTGTTGGGTTATTTATACCGACTTTAGCAAAGCGTTCGATGAAATCTGTCACAAAATACTAATATAAGTACAAATTAAGCGCTTACGGCATTACTGGCACTTTGCTGAATTGGTTGAGTTCGTACTCAACGAATAGAGAATTTTTCGTAGTGATTAACGGTTTTCGATCTTTTGTGTATAAAAGGCGTTCCACAAGGATCACATCTCGGACCCATCTTGTTCCTTTATTTTATAAACGACATACCTGAGTGCTTTCAGAAGTCCGAGATTGTTATGTATGCCGACGATTAAAGTAAGCGTGGTAAAATCAGATGAAGACCCGTTTCATTTACAAAAAGATCTGAACAGGCTAATTTAATGGTGTTAGTTTTTAAACTCGGGGAAATACACCATATCACGTTAAATATACCAGAAAAAGTAACATAATACATACAAAGTACCTACCTAATGAATTCAGAAGTGAAAAAGGAAGTGGATAATATTCAGGATCTTGGAGTTTTTTTTGATAGAAAACTAACATTCCTCCCCCTTATAGACAACATTATAAAAACATCGTCGAAACGCTAGGCTTTGTCATAAGAAATTGCAGAACTTTTCGTAATCCTAAAACAAAAATAATCCAATACAACAATTTAGTAAGGAGTGGATTTTGTCCTGTTGTGGATTGGAGTACTGTAGTGTGGTTTGGCGACCACACTATGCGGTTCATAATTTGCGCATTGAGCGTGTCCAAAAACGCTTCCTTTGGCACCTAGCATACTCAAGTGATATTGCCAAGAAGCAACCATCTTATCGGGAAAGGTTAAACCACTTTGCTATGTGCAGTTTAGATAAAAGGAAGAGATTTAACGATGCTTTATTTGTGTGCAAAATTTTGAAAAACTACATTCGGTGCCCTATAAACAAAACAAACAAACAAAAAGTATTTATTCGCGTCTGGGACGCATAAAAGACACAAAACGAACAATAATAAAAATAAAGGTAAAAATAAAAATACATTAAGAATTATACTACAATATATGCTATGCTACCAGCACTTTGTAATCGCCGCGCGGCCTCAAGAATACCACGTGGCTCGATCACTCCATTATGTCCCCCATTTAGGCGAACAGTTTTGGGTTCTTACTCTCTATATGCCAGGTAGCACAGTATGCACAGTAAACAGTTGTTGCGACATAATTGGTGTACATCACGATTCTCTATAATAGCTAAAATCACAGTTTATGAAAACTCTGTCCGATCCATGCTAACCAGTTACTTAATTTAGTTAACGTAAAAATATATGTTGTATAGGTAAGGTTGATTACTAATTTAGTTATACGTTGGGCTTGTGGTGTTTACCTTTAAGTGAGTGTTGCATTATTGCTTTTATATAAAACAATTTTAAGTGTAAACATTCGTTGGTGAACCAAATAAATAAATGAATTATGAGAACCACACAAAAAAGGAAAACTGAGACTTCTTTTTAGCGTAGTGGCTTGACAACTGAGCAATGAAATATATCCAGCCAGTATATAGTTATAGTTAGGTATTCTATGGAATTAAATTGACTAGGTAGGTATTATACACGTGCAACCAGTGCATACATTTGTACCAAACCCTGCATTGTAAAAGTTCATCAGTGTTTCTGGCTCATCGCTTCACTAGTGCGTGTTTCTTTTCACTATAGTTACGAGTTCATGGAATGAACCTGTGTTTTAATAATGCTACGTGGAATATTTGTTTACTGTTCTACTTTTAAATGGATCTGTGTGTTCTCATTTTATTGGATTTTAGTGGAGTAAAATAAAAGTGCATATTTCTTATCAATTATGGTCGTAGGTACATAGTTATCGATTGTACGACTCTTTGTATGTATCTAAGGCAATTTAAAAACTTAAAGTTTACATATTAAAACATATTCACAATTTCGCATACTAGAATTCGAGTCCCGTTGTGACTTGAAACTAGTAGAGTATTTCTCAGTTAATCACGTGAGTCGTTATTTTCAATATATATTATTTACATAGGTGCACATCACACCCAGATCCAGACTAAGCTGCAACGTAGCGCAGCAGCCGGTTGCCCAGCCATAGTGCCGATCGTGCACTCCCTTGCAGTTAGAGAAGTGCATTTTTTTGGCATAGGTCATCGGCGCTGTCCGTGGTAACTCTCAAAACTATAGGATTTATTACAAGTGCGTTGCCTTGTGGGTTATTAGGGATTAAAGGATAGGGGGTTTGAGGATTGCGGATGAACTGGAGATGGCGGATTGGACCTGCGGTAACCTCACATACACGGCGAAACATAACGTATGGGTACGTTGTTTCACGCCGCTATTCTGTGTGGATGTGTTATCACTTCGGCTCTCCCATACTTATTATAGCCATTTATAACATAATCCTTGAAAAGTTATCGTAAGAAGATAAACCTTTGTTGTGGAGGGAAAATCATCGATTGACGTCTCTCGTTCAGGGTATGGCGAGAGGGGCTGTCAGACTCTTACAGACCAACCTCTCCCCATTCTTTCTCCTGCTTCAGGTCGAGGGCGCGGTACCTTATTGCGCTTGACCATATTGGCCCCCATCTGTGGTGGTCTATCGCTACACACTCGGGTCTTATGTAGTTAACCTGGATTAATTTAAGGAATTAAAACAAAATGTAGCTGATTTTCATAATTATTTATTCGATATCTCCCATGGTAACCTTCGTCTGTCGTAACACGTCTAGGAATAATGTTTTGGCACAATATTTGGCATGGTTCACTAAGTGTTGCATTATCGTGTTGCTGTAACGCCCATATACGACGTAAAATATGTTACATAACATAGTACGTAACAGGATCGTGTATCATGTTTGAAAAAATGACAATTGAACTGTTATTTAAATTGCAAATATAATAAGAATTATGTTACGTAAGTAAAAAAATTGTCGTGTTTATTAATGCGAATATTTATTTATTTTAAGAGTTATTCAAGTATTTTTTACCAATCGAATACGGGCGTTCGAAATTTATATGTATTTGAATGAAAATTGAAGCCTTTAAAGACTATTATCGTACCAAATCAGCAAATAAAAATTAAATAATAACACTTTACATCTTAACAACCAGACAACCTCTTTACATTTACAATATTTACGTGTGACGCGAACCAAGACTGTGAGGTCCCCAAAAATATTAAAAGAAATTAGATACCAACGATTTTGAACTGTAATACCTCGAAGATTAAGTCGGTATTGAACTACTAAACGCACAGTGCTCTTGTAGTGGTTACAAGAGCACTGTGCGTTTCGCATGAACTGTCCAAAAACCACTTCAGAATCGCAATTTTGTGCAAACTTGCAGTCAAATTTCAAACCAATCACTTAGACCTATAAGTGTATTTTCAAATGACGTTGGCCAATATTTTTGGAGACCAAACACTCCAGTAACACTGTCACACCTCTAATCCTCACGAATACAACAATTGTTTGTAACAATAATAGTTTTTAGCCTACTTCTAGGCAAAAAAATTTCTCTAAATAGCTTCATAGGCTTGCAGGTTCAAAGTGAACAGTGAATATAGACTTTATTGTCACCTAACTTAGCTACATATTACCTCAACATTTTATTTCTACAAGATAAGTTTTAGTTACCTGTCTTTTTACTCTCAGCCTGCAAGCTTACAACTAAAACATTTGATTGGAGATATCGAATACTATTGCTGAGTTCCACAACGTCTCAAACTATTGATATCTTCAATCAAATTATGAATAATATCATCTAATCGAATAAATTATAAGAATTCAGTCGCTCCGTTTTATAAAATCATTATAGAATACAACGAAATGTTTTCCAAACACATCTTAGTGAACAATAATGTGATCTGTTAGTGTTCTGTTGGCAGTGTGTGCTTCTCGTCATAGTAATGTTACATTTGAGCGCTAAATGTGGCGGGTTCCGTCGTTTGTGTTGTCCAACCTAATGAGCATAGGAGGTACATCACCCTGGTATTTATCTATCAATATTCGTCCACTAAAGTAGCTCTCTCATCGTATTCAACCACTACCATGATACGACTGGGAGCTGGAATAATATTATTATATTGCTTATTTCTTGATTAAGTTCAATAGTTCGTTCGTTAAGTCTGCATACAACGTAAATATGTCTTTTGACACGCAAAAGCTACGTGACGGTAAACTGGCGGTGACCTTACTACGCGGGTACTTACTCCTCCCCTAAACAACTGTTCGTCCTACTAGTAATATCCTCAATTACAACTACACTATAATACTTAATTGCTTTATTAATTATTGCTTTAATTTTTTTTTTTGGTCTGTCAAATCCTTGGCGAGTGGAACGTGTAAAATTGTATATCGTGTGTGTGTATGTGTGTGTGTGTGTGTGTGTGTGCACACAACAACAGCTAGAGTCGAGAACAAAAGAAGCGTCGATTAACAGTTGACTACGAGCAGCGAGAGTTTGAGTAAAATAGTTCTAAAAGTATACTAGCACTAACGGGGCAGCCGTCGATGTTGACTATTACAAGGCCTTCGATAGGATTCGTCCTGAGATCACGTTCTTAAAGATTAAGTACAAACTATTATTGCATGTTTAGAATTGCACTGTTACGATTTCGATTAAAAAGTATCGATAAAAGTAGTCTTTACACTCGTTAGTATTGTCCAGAAGAGAACATGCGTGGGGTACTGCAGGCGAGGCGCCGCGCTCAGGCGGGCGGCAGCATGTCGCGCTGCAGCGACGTCAGTCACGTGTGGAACACCCACCCCGGCACCGGAGGTCACGCGTCCGGCACGCCGTGGATGTGGTGCTGGTAGTTGTGGTTCAGCTTGTTCGCGAACTCGTTCATGATGTCCCGGAAGATGACCGAGTCGATGTTCTCCCCGAGGATGTACAGGAGGTACCAGTCGCCCATCTTGCTGCGCCGCACGATCGTGTCGACGTTGTCGCGCCGCACCAGCCGGAACCGCATGCGCATCATGTACACGCGCATGCGCGGCGAGAAGATGATGATGAACCGGTACACGAGCGTGATGAACGTGAGGATGCCGAGGATGACGAACCAGAACCAGAGGAAGACGTAGATCTTCTCGTTGACCACGTTCAGCGGCAGGATGCAGAGCGCGTCGTGCCGCTCCACTTCGCCCGACGAGCCGAACTTGTTGAACAGTGTGCACTTCACCATCCTGGAATGTATACACAACTTTTTAAACAAACGGACTCAAGTATCATAGCATAATAGGTAATATCCTATTTTATTGCACCTCGTCCAAATAATTAACGTATCACGCCAAGTGTTCAAATCAACAATCATAATATTTAAACTCTGCCTTACCTTGGAAATATGTAGATCATGGGGTCGATCCGATCCTCCTGATCTGACTCCATGTATCTTATGACGTCCAGCCCGAAGGACATGAACTCCCCGTCGAAGAAACGGTTCATCAGGAACATTTGCCCTGGAAGCAAAGCAACACCAAATGAGACCAGAAAACAAAAAGAAAAAACATAAAGCAACAATCAGCAGTTCTGTTCGAAAATTAAAATCAAAATGGAACAAAAAGAGGTAAATTTTGAAATTAGAACAATAAGTAGTTCTATTTTTGACAAGACGTTATAGGTTGGCAAATTTTCCGATATAAAAAAAGGAATTTACACGCATGGTAGGACGACCCTACTTGATTATCCTTAATGAGTAGCCCTCTTATTAAGGCGGTTTACGTCTTCAAATTAATAAAAAGGCAAATCAAGCATCTTAGCGATCGATACTGTATTGTTTACAGCATAAGTTCGTATCGCATCAGGAATTCTTGACTATGCTCGGAAGGAATGACGCACGGCGTTTTTTTATTGCATGTTTGGGCACAGGTCAACATTCGGGCAGTATGCTGTAAAACTTGGTTTATGCCCGTTTTAATTCAATATGTTATGATTTACAATCGGCGCGGTGGGACCCTACGGCACGAGACAAGAAAATGAAGAAGACCCATTTTATTGCTCGAGAGATTACATGAAGTCGTTAAAATTGGTTTGTAATATGTAAATAAAAAATTGGCAAAAAATAGTGTAAAGTTTCTGAAAATAGTAATAAACAGGTTGCATTTTTGTTATTTAAATGATGGAAATAAATAAAATAGTCTATCCAAATCTATCATAAAGGAAAATGCGCTTTTTACGTTTTGAGGCATTGCAACTAATATCTTTAATACTTCAATAAAAATGGAGTACTTGTCAAACTCAGAGAAGAATGGCGTGAAACAATCGCAGTGTTGTGCTTCCCCGAGTGAGTATGGTTACCGGAGGCGCAGTCCTTCCGGCTTTAGTTATCCGCAATAAAATAGAGTAGAGACTAAGCTTTTGACAAATTTCCAATCAAAACTCAATACTTATGTTTAGTGTAGGTATATAGTTAAATTCAATTTAACTTCTGCGTGTACCTACGTTACCACCGTTCAGGATTCAGATCGTGCGCGCGACAGATGTGCGTCTGATATATCAGTTAGAACATATTTAGGTTGGTATGGCCACGAGTACGGCGGCTCTTGCCAAAACCTCCCCAAATATTGTGTGACATAAATCTTCAATGTATTTGCGATTCACGAAATTGTTACGTAAACGTTCATTGTTATTATCGTATATGTAATATCATAAACACTATCCGCACGGCAGCTATAAACGCTTAAAATTCTTTATAGAATTCAGGTTGGTATTGTGATTTCTCGCTATTGAGTCTGTCGTACTTGTCTAGTGCTAGTAAACATTGAGATATGTAAATAGTTAAATAGTTATCAGAACATTTTCATAACGTCAAGGTAATTTCACCGTTATTTTTTACAGGAAAAAGATATAGGTACTTAAAATTGGAACTAATGACTTACTCATGTGAATGGTGTGTAATGCGCACCCAATACTCATAAATTAAAGTTCCATTGTAACTTGAAACTGAGTCGCTATTTTAAATAATAGAATACTTGTAACCATTTTGTCTCTTTTTAAAAAACCTTTAGGTTAGGGAATTTTTGTGAATAATATTGCATTGAGTTAGTAAAATTCCTTTTTGGTGTTCTTTTTGTGCAGGGAATATCATCAAGTAACTTCTGGAGTATCCTGGAAAAGTCTTGGGTACTGAGGGAGGGAGTCTTACTGACTAAAAACATTCCCCGTTCCTTCTCCTTCTCCAGGGTACCGCCGTACCGTATAGCGCTTGACCTGCGGCCCCGGCTTAGTTAATAGTTACTCTAAAATGATTATTAAGACATCATCGCTGGTTCCCCGCTGTTCTCGTGGCCCATGTAGGCCGAGATCGCGCGCACAGCATTATTTCCTCTCGGCCGACTCGCCTTTTGTTATTGGAAACGCGACAGGAAGTGAAAGTAAATAGCTGTTGTAAGTTTAGAATTACAAACAAATAAAAATATGATGCATACTTCCTGACAGCTTTTTATAATAGAACTATTTAGTATTGAGAAACAGCCAGCTTTAAAGTAGTAAAGAAATAAACTTGTGAGGTATTTAAATTACACGGTATCTATGGGTGAATTAATTGAACAGAACTTTTGCTTATCTTTTGTTTGTAGAGTTGTAATGTACTAACACCTCGAAGTTACCTAGTTTTCATGAGTTAGTGTCATCATTATCATCATCAGCCTATAAGTGCCCATTGCTGAGCAAAGGCCTCTTCTCATACTGAGAAGGTTGGCGATTTCAAACTTATAATTAGAAGTTCCCATTCCTCACGATGTTTACCTTCACCGTATGTCAGTGGTGTCAAAATAATCATAGAAAGTACATAGCACTCGGAGAAAGTCACATTAGTACGAGTTAGTCTTAGAACTGATAATTTCCTTGTACATAAGGAACTAAACTAATTAAATAATTTAAACCACTTTCAACATTTTGGAGATCGAACTCAAAACTTATAATCGCAGTAACATCAACACAATCAACGTCAAACACAACGTTAAAAATCACTTAGCGAAAAATAAAAGACAACCAAAATTTGAGCTAATTTAAAACAAAAATGGCGGACAGAATCAATCAGTATGAATGATGGGAGCGATAAGGGTAGACTCTTGACACATTTACAAAACGCTTTTAGTATTTGGAGCGGCCTAATCTAAGTCCGTGTTTGGGGAGAGTCCCTCCTGTCGATCCTAATTAGGCTGTATACTTGAGACAGTAAAAACAGGTCTTAATGGCACTTTTACAAACTAAAATGTTATGTAGCCTTCGTGATGTGATAGAATTATTTAGGTTCTTCGTGAAATATCAAATATTTTTCTATTTTTGTTCGTATTCCGTGGAACATCTTGTCGTTGAGGCATACAACTTTCAGATAACTAGCCACTTACAGCTTGTATGACATCATACTTTACATAGTCCATTTTAAAATTAAGCTTTTAAATATGTATGTATTTGGGAGAACTGTTCGCAATTTTCACTATATGCGCTCTCCTAGCATAGCAGTGTAAACAGGAGCGAGACTACTTCCTTTTATAATTTAATGTGTGGATCTCATAAAGAGTTGTCCCGTGCGGGAATCCAACCCGCACGGCAACCAATTATCAGCCACTGCGCCAACCGTGCAGTCAGTGACTAGCGGTTATAGATTTAACACAAAAGTCAATTCGTTACACCTTTTTTTGTGGACAGAAAATCATCAAATGGCTTTGGACGCTCATGATATGGCGAAAGGAGAAGACTCTACTGACTAAAACCCTCTATTCCTTCTCCTACTCCAGGCCGAGGCCTCCGACCCGCATCTTTGGTTGAACTTCGGCCCTATAGGTCCCCATCTGTGGTTTTCTTTTGGGTCATTGAGGCGCGCGCGAAATGCCCTGCACCGTACCCTCGGGTAGTTGTTAACATCTAGAAATAAAAGTCATTTCTTACCTATAACGTTGATAAGAGCAAGTCCCTCGCACAAATAGTATCGATAGGCCCACCAGTTGTGGTACCGCAGGTTCTCCCACAAGTAGTCGAGGATCAGCTTCTTCTTCGTCTTCTTCTCTATCTCCGTGCACACCCCCACGTCCAGGTCCATCATCAAGGCACGGATCTTGCCCCCTTCCCAGGATTTCCATAACCAACGAGGCGCGTAGAACAACATTGCCTGGAACAAGATTATTTTAGTGTTAGTTTTGATTTGAAGTTGAAACATGTATATGATTGGAGAGTAAAAGGAATTCTGTAGATTTTTTGGATCCGATTATTGATAATGATGATTAGATCAAATAAAAAACGTTTAACTTGAACTAAAAACAATTTGTCAATTTTTCCGGTCCGGCCGTTGTACATCGAACAAAAAAATTGAAAATCTTTAAAGAATATTTTTTTTATTTGATTTGATTCAAGATTCGCTTTTTGAAACCTTTCATTAGTATTTTATAAATTTATGGCCAATTTCACAACTTTGTGATAGTTACTCTGAAGCAAATAAATTTTAATATAGATCGTAATCTGTATTAACTATGTGCCATATCATTATAGGAAGCTTATTTAAAGATAAACCTAGCTTTAATTATTGACAGTTCAACGTTTGACTTTTTACAATATAGAAATAAATGCTTAGAATTTGTCTTCGAATGTTGCGAAACAGGCGCGATTTATTTAAAAAACATGGTGTAATTTACAATTATACTTATTTCCGTCACTTTAGAGCTATAAAACCCAAGCTGTCATACACTTTGTTTTTAACTATCTCAATCAGACTTCACGACAGAACTTTAAAAGTTAAACTATTTAATGGTCCCTAAAATAAAACCAAACGACATTCAACACTAAAAGATACCAATTTCAATAACATGACGACCATCTGACAAATTTAACTTGGTATATTCCAACTTTATAGCGACATTTGACATTTTATGTCCAAAATTAATCAAAAAAATCACAACTTATTTTATACTTTGTATGTATAACATTAAGGTATAAATTTAGAAAGTTAGGGATAATAAGGTGTGAGTCACAATGAGCAATCTTGGTTTGCACGGCCATAAAGTAGTTTGGCTAAAAGTGGCAGACGTTTGGTTGGTAGTGCAACCGGGGTTATGATGTAGTAATGTTTATTGATATTGCTGTAGCCGGTACATAAATGCAATTGATAAAACACATTCTACGGATAGATACAGGGCTGTTCGTTTTTCAAAATGTGGTTTTCAAAATTAAACAAAATATACTGAGTAACTATATGTACATTAAATACCTGGATGAGTGAGATTTGAGAGTTCGAGATGAAATGAAACGTTGCTAGAAAATTATTTTCTCCGCTCAAAAAGCTTTGAAACAAAATTTTATCATAATAGTTGGATCAATTTCCATGTATACAATATTTGTATAATATACAAGAAATACCCCTTTTAAAGTATAAGATACGACTAGTTATTCTAGTTTTAATTCGTTGTCAATCAGTAAAATTTTTAACTGTGCACATACAGCTTAAGAATAAAAAAGTTTTCATTAAGTTTAGAACAATGTTATTTTTGGGATTATCTAAGAAAATATTCATAAACTTTGCCAGTATAAGAATATTAGCAAACCGAACTATCTATGAACTAAAATCAATAACATTCAATCGGACAGCCCTGCAAACGTCATAAATTCATCTGGCTAGACACTATCGTAAATGGTTTATAGCCATCAGATATTATAGTTTTCAGCAGGCCGCGGCCCGACGCCCGAGAGATGCGCGCGCACTGACAGACATCACAATACTGATGGCTTTATATAAATAACTGATTGACGTTTGTGGGCCACGCTACTAGATGGCGCTGGTAGTACACTATTTATTATTAGTAGTGCAGTTTCGTCTGCATTCTGTGGTGTCACGTAAGCTGTAAATCCCTAGTGTTTCAATACATGGCTTGGAGGAATGCCTTCGACTTATTATTAATTCAGTGCGGCCGTGTTTTCGGGCTTGAAATGGTTTATGTTAAGGATTGGAAGTGGAATTATAAATAGTTTGGAGAGAAACCGTTACGATAAGAGCCTATTGCCTATTCTTCCCGACTACTGTTTTATTTTTACTTTAAAGTCAAGCGTTATTTCTTGTAAAATAGTCGGTTGGTGGTTTCAACATTAAATTATACTCAGAGATTATTTCTTACGTAGAAAGTCTAAAGTTGTCGATGTTCTAAACTTCTAATGCATATTAAACTAAAATCCGTTTTAAAAACTATCACGGAGCAGACCTTTTTAAATTCAAATCTATTTCACAAACACGTAAAATAAATGTAAAACAAACTTGACTTTACAAATCATCGTTGATGTAACACGGCGGCCACAAAACCGCGGATCATTAGACAAATCATTGGCAATTCGTGTACATTGCAGCGATTGGTAGCGTGCAAACAAGTCGCGAAGTTTAAAGGATGCATAATGCAGAGGTCAGCACTGCAGCTTGTGCACGTAACACATAAATTGGGCGTGTTCGATGCGGCTCAGCCGCGGTATTACAGATTCAATGCTGCTACCCAAAATAAGTGGGAGGTGTTTGCAAGTAATTTATGACGCTACACCACTTTTTTATATTTAAGAGTTTTAATGCTATTTTATGTATTTAGCTTAGTTGGATTGCAGTTGTAATACAAGACTAATAATAAAGTATTTTGCTTTGAAAAAATGTTCACGGATTATTTATTATCTATGAAACTGTTTCTGTTGTGAGTCACATATCACACATATACACATATGCTGAGTAAAGGCCTCTTCTCACAAATACTGAAAAAAAGTCATATTGATACTTGCCAGGTATCGAATTCGTACCCTCATGCAGGAGAACCTTAACCTTAACCTTCGGGCCACCACGACGACGTTCTCTATTAGTGAATGTTAAGTACATATATTAGCTACTAGCTACTGCCGCGCGGTTTCACCCGCTCCTCGGCGGCTATTGGTCGTATGGTGATGTTGTATAGCATATAGTACTCAGGAACATTGCATCAATGTATCAGTGAAAGATTTTTGGAAAACCAGCTAGTGGCGTATGCATATATATCCTATACCTACATATATCACATGAACAGAGAATCTGCAAGAAATAACAATTAATCTGAACACTAAATCTCAAACTATTTGTCAGTCAGTCAGAATATTTTACTAGTCCACATTGTAAATCGGTTTATTTACACCGATGTGGCAGTGTCACAACTAGTTTACGACCTCACAGTGACTGACCAGTGACCGACTGACCACACATCGGCAATGGGGTGCTAATTCCAGTGTCCCCCAACTTTAATGACCTTATTTAATAGTTTGTGGATTCACGTAGTTAAATTTGAAATAGCGTTTCAGTTAATTTATAAGATAAATAGATTTTTTTTTTTTTTTTTGGTAACATTAACTAACAAATATCAACATTGGAATTACCAATCGATTTCTGCCACCCTAGATGAAGCGAGAGAGAGTCTCAGGCTGTTGCTGAGTAAAAACCACCCCGTTACTTCTTCTGACTCCGTGATCGAGACCTTTCAAAGTTCAAGTTACAAAAAAAAAAATGCTGCAATTTTCGTAAAAGAGTAGGGATCGTATATGGTGTTATAATTGATTTACATACAAATAGTCAACATGCACCTTGTAGATTCGGATAGGGAATGAATACCATTAGCATACAGAATTCCTACTGGCGTAAAACAATACGTAGCCACATCGGGTTTCGCCTTATCAGTCAGGTTACGGGAGTCCTGTCCTTAAATCACAAAAAAGGTTGGCAACGCACTTGTAAGCAGTGCCTATTGTCTACCATCAGGTAATTTGACTGCTCGTTTGCTTATCTAACCATATAAAAAAGTTCCGGATAAACTTGTGTAGAGATAGTTCATACGTTCTGTGCATGTATCTGGTACTTAGCAACTATTCAGACTCTTTGAAATTGGCCTTTAGTTTTATTATGATTGTAAAAAAGAATAAACCTACTGCAATATACCAAACCATAATCCAAACTCAACTACTATAAGCAACTAAAAAAATTTTCGGACCATAGAATAAACTAAAAAAAGGTTTAATTCTAAAAAAAAGTTTAGTACCGAAACTTTCCATTGGGTGTTGCCAGTTTTTCTCGAGCAATGGTTTCTGGTCAGCCACAACAGCTGCTCGTCGCATCCAGTACTGCTAGATTAATAGTCTGGCAACACTCGTATGAGCATTCCGAGGTTTTGGCGGGAAGTTCGTAAAATACGAATAAAATGGCGCACGTCTTCTGTACTACCGGGTGAATAACGAGCTTTTAAATGGTGTTTGAATCCCCGTGAATTTTTATCTACAAAACGACAATGTAATGTGGGTTATTTTTATCTGTGGAAGTTTACATATCCATAAAAAGCTTTTATTTTTAGGTCTAGTAAATTTGAGAGTTGCTTTCCGGTCAAGGATATAAAAAACTTTAATTATTTAAAAAGTTTCTCTATTATTTACGCGACTCGACGACTGTCGCGCTGCTACTGTAGCAGCGCGACAGTCGTCGAGTCGCGTGTCGCGGAATGCTGCACGTGAATATGGGCCTCTAGCATGGCTTGAAACTAGTCGAGTATCTTGTCAAATTATTACGTGAGTAAGCCGAAAACATAATAAATAATTTAGAATGTCTCACGAAAGTTATAATAAAAAGTTTCTCTATTGAAATAAGTGAACTGTCTTTAATTGCAAAAAGAAACCAGTTTTCAGTTTTTTTTTATTTGCCACTCATTCTGAAGTACTATTTGTTCTGACTCACGAACACTCAAACAGCAGCCTGCACGTATTACAATGCTCTTACATTTTGAGGATGCTGCTAAACTAACATGCGAATATGGGTACCAGTGCCTAGGCACAAAATATTAAAAAAGTAACTATTTTCCACACATGTCAAAAGACACTAATATTAATGCAAACGCGGCGTCAGCAAGATAATCTGAAATATCGACCTTATTCAGTAATATAAATAGAGTAGAGAACTGGTTCAGCTATTATCTCTACACTTGAGTGAGTTCTTCGATCAGCCGTGAATCGATTGTCACATACTTGTTGCAATTCCTGGCTCTAAGACGCGCTTAGATTTTATGGAACAAACTTTGCAGTTTAAATTTAGACCCCATTTTAAAGAGTGTTCAGTTCAATTTTATTTGTAGAGTGTTCTAT